ATGTTGAATATAGTTCTCCACGAAGACCTCCCTGGATACTTCACCGTCCTCGATGTCGAACCTGATCAGAATGTCCAGACTGGGGCCGACGATGACTAGGACTTCATCAATGTCACTGTACTCATCCTTCTCATCGATCAGGATAGCCATTGCCTTCCCTCGGCTCGATGCTAGTCTGCATGAATAAGACCATTGCTCATCCTGCCTTATCTGATCGGTGGGCTTGCCGACTTTACCATGACCTTTGGGGATGGTCTGGGATTTCCGGCTGCACTTCACGAAGTCCTTCTTCACGTACGTTTGGATGCAAGTCTTGGACTCATCAAATCTGACCTTCTTCTTGACGACATTCGATGCAACCTTGTGGTATGTCCCTTCATCATCACTCCATTCAGGGACAAGTGCAGGAGTAGCCTTTGAGCTTGATGCCTCGGTGTTCGGAGCAGTGTTGAAGAGATGAGGATCGTGACGTTTGTTGCATTTGTCTCCGTATCGGCACTTGCCCTTGGCCCAGTGCCAGCATGGTTCATCAATCTTCTTGGTCTTGTTCGCTGGAGATTGACTTCTCGGAGTTCCTGGCTTTCGACCATTACCTTTCGTGTTCTTGTTCGCATCAAATACCTTTTGGTCGTGACTGTATTCACAATCTTTTCCTTTTCTGCATGCTTTCTTGATGAAATGGAAATGACATGGGATCTTCTTCTTGGACCTAGGACTAGCACTTCGGCTGTTTGACCGTCCGTTTCCTTTCCCTTGACCTTTCCCTTTTCCTTTTGCATGCTGTTTTGGTTGAGGTGATGGTAGAACTGGAGCTGCATCAGCCTTGGCCTTCGCCTTAGGTGCTGCCTTCTCCTTGGGAGTGGCTTTAGCCTTCGCCTTCGGATTGGCATCTGGTGCAGCAGCAGTTGGATTTGGTGCAGGAGTAGTGGGTTTGCCACCACCTGCAAACTCTCTTGCGTACTTCTCTCTGGCGGCCACATGCTTGTCTTCTCTGATCCTGGATATGTGCCTTTCGATGACGTCCAACAGGTAACGATAGCTTCGTCTTTGATCCCGATCAAATCCATGATTCGTACTGCTTGATGTCGAACATCATGAGACTCGAATTCCGAATCTTCTTGTACAGAGAGTCACGAAGCCAATCATCAGGAGGTACATCATCCGGCATCATGTTTGATACCATCTCCATCCACTTCTCATAGAACACTTCCAGGTTGGAGTCACCGAGATACTTCATCGACACGATGTGCTCCATGGTGAAGGCTGTTTCTCGTTGACCTGGTGTCCTGAAGTGTTCCAGAATCATAGCCAAAATCTCACGTCCCATAACATAGGTTCCTCTTCGACTATGACTCTGTGTTCTCAATCTCAATTTGATTGCTACATGACGAGCAACATCACCGGCTTGGGCTATCACGTTCGACAATGCAATTGACAACTTGGCGTCGATTGACTGATATCGTTGCCCACCACTGTCATTCAGTAGCTCGATGTCAGGATTTGGTCGAATAGCCGGCTGTAGCCACGCTTCCCATGCAGCTTTGTCTCCATCGTTTGCGGCAAGAACAACACCTTTGATGAGATCTGACTGCCAAACTCCAAGGTTCTGTTGCTTCGGCCATGGGCTAACATAGACTTTGTCAGCCTCTCGTCTTGACATTCTCGGTACTTCTTCTGCCGTGTACGCCGCAGTGGAGATATCATCTGCTGAATCGCGTTGTGATCCCCGAACTGAAGGCAAGCCAGGAGGTTCTGAAGGTGGTCCTGGACCATTAGGCCCAAAAGGGTCAGGAGGCCCATCAGGGTCAGGTGGGCCACCCCTTCCGCCCGGAGGCTTGTAGTAGTCCTTCTCGGTTCCATCGGCGATCTTATTGTCAACTTCTTTCAGCAGGTCGGTGATCCTCTTGTTCGATTGAGATGGTTGATTTTGAGATGATCCAGCCAGCCCGTGATAGGAGAGAGCAGCATTAGTCTCGTAGGTCAACTCCTTGTCGATCTGCGATACCCATGATTTCAGGACAGAGTTCTCGGAGTTAGCCTCACTCACCTCATTCTCCAGTCTATCAATGACCAGTCTTGATGCGAGATCATAGTTGGGGATACCTGCCGAATAGGGAAGCGTATCAGGGTTGACCCTGGACATAGATGTTTCAGAATCCTTAAGACTCTTTCTTAGTTCGTCTATGCGACGTTTCATGTCAATAATCTCAGAATTCTTGATACCAATCTTTTCATCCCTATCCTGAATTTCCCCCATGAACACGCATGATCTCTCATATTGCTGAACACCACTAGCCAATTTCATTTTGCGCTCACTTTCTAGTTCAGATCTTAAAGCTCGGACTTCAGCATTGGAGAAGGACGACGCCCCTACATCCGCAACTTCAGTCAATCTTTCTTTTAACAACATGTTCTCCTGTAAACATTCATGAACTTCATGGTCTAGATCCTGAACCCTGATTTGAGCGATTTTGGCTTGGTTCCGTAGATCTTCAACAAGCATCTCATCAGGGCCACGACCGTCGATCGTAGTGCCCTGAGTTAATGATCTTCGCAACTTCACGTTCTGCAATCTGATCTCATCCTTCAATTCACAGTTCATCTCCTGCTCGTTGGCGTAGAGCTCTTCATAGTGCTCTGCCCTCGCGATCGCATTTGCACTAGCCTGTGATTCAAGCCTCAGGTGCGATATCGCTTCGGCCTCATTGTTCCTGTATGATGCGATTCTTCTGACAGTATCATGTTCAGTGTTTCGGTGTTTCAGATCGCTTTCCAATTTGGCCTGATTTGCCTCGAAAACTTTCTTTCTAGATTCTCTAGTGGTCTCTTCAATACTGTTTTCATACAACTCGGCCTGTTTACGAGACTGCACTAGAGGTTCACTCAATAGTTGATTCCGTTCAGACAATTCATGAACTGCAAGTGATTGTTGTTGGCTAATCATTTCAAGTTGATTGCTTGAGAAGGATGCCATTTCGGATCGATTACGATATTCCATGATTGAGTTCTGGAAATCCGTCTGCATTTCTTGACCTTCAGTGTACAATCGGTTGGCAATATCGGTAGTTAAGACATTGGTCTGATGAAGTTGTTGCAGTCTTGCCTCCGTATTACCCAATAGTCCTTGAAGGTGATGTACTTCATCCTTGTACTCTTCCTGGATCTCCATACCGCGTTGATGGATCCGTCTTGCACCGTGTTCCATCAGGGCACCTCGGCGTTCAAGGTCTTGGATGCGTATTGTTGCACCTTCGTCTTCCTGAGATGCTACCATTAGTTCTGCTTGATACTCTGCAACCTCATTTGCGGAACACGACAATCTATGATTGAGTGCATTGACCTCATCAAACACGTTCTGGTTTTGTTCCTGAAGATATTCAGTGAATCTGATCTCGATGTCATGAATCAGTTGATCTCTTGATGCAGCATATGCTTCCATATTGTTCAACTGATTGCGTAAGGATTGACATTGTGTCCGTAGTTCTTCTATGATGGCAATAGGTTCACTAGCCACAGAAGTATCCGTTGATCTCCTCTTAACGCGAGTGTCCCCGGTCCTCTCACCAATTCGGTCGGTTCCGGCCCTGGTGGATCTGTCCCTTGGGGTAGTTCGTCCTCGGGATGGTCGATGCCCTTGGCGGACAACATCACTTCGAGCACTGTTTCGAGAAGATCTTGGTGTACTTTGGGTGGACATTCTTCGTCTGTTTGATGTAACCTGCCATCCGGACTGTGTAGTTCGGGTAGAGCGTATCCCACCACTGTCTGCTGTGTCGCCAGGGGAAGATTGAGTGACCTCCTCGACCGGCACAGCAGCGTTCTCGTTGAAGGTAAACTGCGTGTTGCGCGAATCCCCGCTGCCGCCCTGCATCTTTGCGATGATGAGCTGATTGGTCCTTTGCGTCCACAACCTTAAGCTCTGACAGCCCGGCTGCCAGCACGCAGGTACTCCTCTTCCGACGGAAGAAGTGAGCCCTTACGGCTGATAACCTGTGAGCAATTTTAATCCTTGTTCCCGGATATCTGATTGTAGTTGGTGGAGTCCCTAGCGTCCCAGTAGCCGGAGTCCAGGCAACATTGCTGAGCAGCGCAAACACTGTTTTCCCTTGTGACTTGAGCCAAATATTTGGCGTCATGTCAGGCCTACTCCACATGCTTATACATGTGTGCAGTACCGTTTAGTTCCCTTTAGCAACATATGTAGTAACTAATCCCATATGTCATACTAAACTGTAGTACTTCACCAAGCTCTAAAATCGAAGGCGCTTTTTGGGAAAGGCAACCCTAAACATCCCATCATTTTCAATGACGTGATCAACCAAAAATATATTAGCAAAAGGATGGTCATCCAGGAAAAATGTTGGTGGAAAACACCAAAAAGGATTTTTTGGCTGAGGCCGGCTGAGGCCGGAGGCCGACATGTTTAAGCTCATGCAGAAATCCGGATTGACACCAATCCAAGAGAAAATCAAGCAACAAAAATGAGGATGGAAGGAACATGAAGGAACAAGTGTTTGGACTTCATGACTTAATCCTCCAAATGTGGAAAGGTTGGACCTGTTGGAAGAAATCCAGTGTATCCTCAGGAGAAAGCACTTGGATATCTTGGATGCTCGTGTCAAGGAATCAAAGATGGGCAGTTGCTTTGGATCCAAGCCCCCTGATGGGCTACTCAAGTTAGACCAAAGGGTATAGTTCAATAGTGTCCTTTGAGGAAGAATAGACAGAGCCGACTTGGTACTCTTGGTGGTTGTTGAATATGGAGGGAACCTAATTATTATTCAACCAACGAATGGAAAAGGACATCTATCATTTGGATGCGTGTGGAGCTATGGAAAATCACCAGTTTTAGTAGGTCTATCATAATTACATCTACTACAACTACTATAATTTAATATGCGGCTTTGTCTGAAAATGTCTGAAAGTAAGGTACCCCATTGCATCCCATGGTTTAAAATTTTAAATACCTAATTTCCCTATGAAAATGCCATTTTGAGGGCCTCCTCATCCGTGCCCCGACGGTGCTGCGCAATCCACTCCTTTGCATTTCACGCTGCTGTTTCTCCCATGAAATGAGCAGCTTTTTGATGGCAAAATATCTAAAATATGGTGAGCATGGTAAAATGTACAGTAAATTAACCGTTTGACCCAAGAATCTTCCCAAAAATCGTCGATTTTGAGTGGAAAGTCATCTTCCAACCCTGTTTGGCAGACTCGAAATGTGAACTTGCTGGAGGGTAACACATCTCTTCGTCTACCAATCTCTGGTCAATATTTCTTCGTAACCTATCATACCCCTGCAATCTGTAAATGTGTCGGCTCATCAGCCAATAAGAGATTAAATGCATCAAGAATTCTGCGGAGAGTTAACCCCATGAGGACTATAGATTAAGAGGAACCAAAAAAAAAAACGCGTGTATATATATAAATGGCGATGTTATTCGAATTCCAAGCGGAAAATGATTGTCCGAATCCGGTGCTTGGGCTTTGGGCTTCCGTATCAGTGACCTGCCATCGCAGTTTTTGGGAACCCATCGGCCCTTGTTCTTTGTAACACCCAATGCCTGTGGGCGGTAGGGAACCCATCTTTTTGGGGAGATGTGCCATGTCCACATCACCACAACCATCATCACCATGTCAAAGTACGGTGAGACTCAGTGGGCAGCCCAAATCCCAACACTTCTCGGCCACGTGTCCTTCTCCTTCTCGGGTGAATGCTCCAGGGTTGGCCCCAGCACCAAAGTTCGCCTTGGCGAAAGTGTGCACCTTTCTGCTCGGAAGAACTAAGCAGTGCATATAAAAACCACCTTCAGCAACGTCAAAAGGCCACGTCCCCTTTTGCAGCTTGAAATCGGCATATTTCTTGGGGTCATTAAATCAGCGAACAGACCTTTTGGTACATTTTTCCAATGAACCGGAGCCAAGAAGCAAAGCCTCAGATGCCTCACGACGACGGGCCTCATCATCGTCCTGGTGAACTCTGCCTTTTCCTCCCATTTTTGCCACTCAAATCCCCACATTTCGGGGATTTCTGGGGGTACCCGGAAATCATCCCTCGTGATCGTTTTTTTCCATGAAGTAAACCAGCCAGCTATTGAGGATCCCCCATGGCTTTCCCCCAGGTTGAAAACCTCCCATCTCCCAGCCTTGGCAGCCTCAAGTGCTTCCATGGTGGTCTCGCGTCCCGCATCCTTTCCTGGCCATCCAAGCTGGGGCCAAAGGTTCACCGCTCCGGAGGAGAAAAAAAGCAGACACAGCAGGGGAAGTATGATATAGTACAATGTGAGGCCCCCCAGTTATAAGTTGGTTTATAAACCCCATTAACTATGGTTATATCTGCCATAAATCATAGTTGTGGGAGTTATAAACCAACTTATCTAACTATGGGGCACCACCTTGTAGGACTAGTCCAATTGCATTCCATAATTCTCCGACAAAACACCAAGATCCCGCTCCCAGCTCTAACTGGCACCTCGCCCCGTGCGCGGAGTTTGCAAAGTGATGGTGGTGAAGCGATGCCTGGATGAAAAAGTGGAGCCATCTATAGAAATACCAAGCACAACAAGGTTCTGCAAGTCTCTTTGAAACATAACATAACTGTTACTTATGCAAATGAGGATGTAAGCAAAATAGGATGTAAGCAAAATAGGATTAGATTTGAGCGGCAAACCTGAGGAGGATTCTACCAGCAAAAGTGTGATTGTGTCAACCAAAAATGCTGCTCCAGTGGATGTGATCGACAGAATATGGATGCCTATAACCACACAATCGAGCTAAGAAGTGGTGGATATGAACTCCAACAAACACCAGTATGTGGGTTTAATGAGCTCGGTGCAACACTCAGAAAGGCAGATGGCCCCACAAAAATCCACAGCACTGTGGGCATCAAGTTGTGTCATTCAAACAGCACGTCTTTTCAAAGAGGGTATCTCACTACATCCATTTTCTATGTAAAAATTGCCTCACGTTTCTATACTTTTCTCAGATATTTCCTGCCATAAACTGAGGTACTCCTCATTTTGAGACAAAATCATGGCCAATGATACACAAAACATCACTTGCATTCTCTCTGCCATTCTCTACCCCTACTTATAGCAAAAGATTGCAAGGGTTGTATTAAAATAGCCTCTGGTAATCTACCACATCTAACATAGCTATGGAAATCAGCATTAATAGATAAATGCGAAGTAACATCAACAGCTATGTAATCTTACTAATCACCATTAATGCCATTAATAGGCAAACACTAAATAAATACTAGGGAGAACTATGATTTAACACGAATAAATGAGCCAATTTCAGATGCCCTCCACCCAGGCCGCTGTTCCGGGCCGAGTTGCGGGGCTCTCCCGTTCTCGTGCGGGGAGTAGTTCTCCGCCTGCGGAAGCGAGTGGTGTAACGCTGGAACCTATGAACCAATCATTCAGCAAGGTTTATGCCAGGGCAAACCAATGCAAATGTGGAAAACCATGGAAAACCAATGATTTCCCCAACAAAATGATCCACCAATGGTTGGGTTACCCTAAGTATGTTTGTATGTTTACAGGAGGCTACATTGTAAAAATCCTGTTCACATTGTTTACCAGCCTAGGTCAGATGGGATGGTTTCAACCTGGGGATTTGAGCAAATTAGGCAGCGAAAAACTTGGAGTTTTGGCAATACAACAAGGCGGTTGTCCAATCATCAATTTATACCACCAAAGAAATCATAGGATAATTAGTGGATGATAGTGGCTGCTGTTTTGTTAAAATGGATGCTTTTTGGGGAGCTCCAATCACCTCTTGGACACTGCTATCACCTTCCATCCGGTGGAACACCTGGGAGACGCTGATGCGCGGCCGCGCGGACAAGGCGCCCGAGGGGCTGCCACCTTTCACCAACGAGTAGCATTCGAGACATGCGGATTCAACCAAGAGTTCCTACCAGCATTTCCCTGTCCTTAATGGAAACCCCACGCTAGCCGCTAGCTAGGCCCTAGGCATTTCGGTAGGTCAGTCTGGAGCACCATGGGAATGAACAAATCTTAACAAAACAAAACAGGAAGCGAATGGACAGTTCAAAGCAAGAGAGTCAGCGATTTGAACTACAAAAAAAAAATGTGTGGACAAAGCGGGAACTTCAAGTTGAACACTGAAGAACATTAGCGTGTCACACTCTTGTTCTGGATTGCAAGCCCGTGTGAACCCTCATGGGCATCCTTTCTTGTCTGTGAGCCAGCTCTTTGTTTTCCGGCATTCACAAAACCCAAATGAACTCCCCACAAACAGTCATTATCTTGGACGTGCTTAAGGGAACCATTAAGAATACGTATGTCTATATGTACAAATTCCCAACAGGTTCTCCAGATGGTGGATTAAGCAGTTGAAACTTGAAAAGTATACCAAAGTATACCGTATACCCCTCAACAGCATATAAAAACCATCGACCCAAATAGCCAACACACATTCTCCCCGGTTTCGGCTACTGCCTGCGTCTCGCTCCGGTCTTCCCCTGGCGTTCACTGCGTTCACGTGTCAAAAATTGGAGCACCAATGGGCCCACAGAACTGGTAATGGAACACGCAGAGAATTAGGAAATGACCAGCCACTAGTCACTAGTGGGACCTGCGAGAAGAAGGCCGATAGTTGCTCTCGAAATCCACCTGAACCGGCACAGAAAGTGGGATGTTGCACTTGAGGCAAGATGAGGCATGAAACTAGGGATGGTAACCGGATGGTACTCACATTTTTAGGGTTCTACATGGTTCTACCAAGATTCCATGGTGCACCTCTAAGTGGGGCCGTGGCCACGCCAGTTGCGTGAAGCTCTTCAGGGTGGTGCCGCCTTACAAAGGGAAGCGTCACAGAAGCGGCGATGGAGGCGGTTCAGCTGAACTCCGACCAAAAATAGTGGGGTGAACCAGCAAAAATATCAGGTCATCATGGTCATGGGCCTTGAACAGTGATGTCACTACCCCCCAAAAAAAAGAGTTGAATTCTTTGAGCAGCAAAAAATGGTGCGCTAAGCAACCTTGATTTATATGTTTTAATTAGACAATGTCTACCCTGATATAACCCCGGCCTTTTACACCTACGGTAAGATCCGTAAGAACCCCTGTGTGCACACTGCTTGGGGAATTCAAATCGGGAACGTCTAGGCTGCCTAGATGCACATGGGCGTCGCCTGTGGGGCTCCATGCTCTGCCAAGAGGCCTCAGTCACGGATTTTCTGGATCTATCTTAGCTTGTGTGAGGGCAATATCACCTTGCAATGAACAACCTCTCAAATTTTGGAGTTGAATTGCGCTCCATATTAAAATTGGATCAAGATGGCTACGGGCACTTCCACTTCCAAATTCTGCCGTTCACCTTCGATGAAGGTCCATTTCCTTCAACCCCCCACCAACCTTTGTTTCACAAAAGATGCAACAAAAAGCGTCTCTGGAAATTCTGTGACGCGCGCCCTCCAGAAAACTGCCGTAGTTTTGTTCGAAGTCTTCCACCAATTGATGAGGCTTCACCTGGAACCAGTTCAATAGATCCGCAGCGAAAAAAGGGCCAAGGGTTCAACGGTTCAACCGCCACGGCCCAGAAAAAAAACACTCGGGAACTCGGGAACAACGGGAAAAAGTTGGAAAAAAATGCGCCCAGAATTAGGAACATTTAGGAACTGCTAGCTGGCATTTCTCCTATCCAAATCACTCAGTTTCAAGAATGCTCTTGCAGTGGGCCGCAGGCCAGCTCACGGTGTCATGGCTGTGGCATCTGCAAATTACCACTACTATGGTGACGTGGGGCCATGAACCCATTCCACTGTCATGATCCCGGTGACGTTGGGACCTTGGGGTAGCAGTTGCCCAACACCCACAGCCCCCCCCTGGTGCCACCATTCGAATCGGATCCACGATTGAAAGGGCAGCCGCCGAAGCCAAACGCAGCGGCGGCCTGGGGTTGTCGGGCTTGGGAGGGTCCTTCAAACTCTTCCACTTCCCAGGTGCCAAGGCATGACGGAATCACCGGGAAGGAGCCGCTTGAAAGCTGGTGCGTCTCTGATTTGTTTATTTTCCGTTGAGAAAACAATCATCAATTTGCTCCAATAATCCAAAGCACTATTCGAACATCAGGGACACTATGAGCTCTTTCTGATTATCCCCACCGAGATCCATCCTGAGCATTTCCACCCCACCATTCAAAGGGTGTCGATTCATGTTGATTTGAATCTCTGCTTGAAAAGGAAAGAAGAGATAATCACTAATAAAATTAATAAACTTACCAAAACATTGCCATTGAAACCTCCCGTTCCCCAACCTTTTCACCCTTTTTTTTACCAAGAGGCGGTGCACTTCGTCCCTCCATCGCAGGCTCATCCACCGCCAGGGCGAAGCAGTCGATCGAGTGCTAGCCCGAGGGCAAAGATGGCTCCACTGAGGGCCAGGCTGGGAAGTTTTCTCAAATAGTTTTTGCATGTTTTTGAGGCTTTGAGTGTCTGTGAGACATTCATGGTGCTCAGCTGGGCTGAGAGCAAAGTGGCACCGAAATCCTGTGCAAACGGAGGGGGTCTCTTGTGGTTTGCTCATCTGCTTTTGGTTGTTTGTTGGACAGTTTCGGTCCGCAAAATCAGGATGGTTTGACTTCCCAGTACTCAATTTCAAGGCACGGGTCTTCCGCGCCCTTGAACCCAAACATGCCAGCAACTACTTGCAGCCCCAACCCCATGCAGACAGATCAGGCTTTCAAGGCAACTTGAGTATGACTCACGGCCCGTGCTCAAGTCGTGCCCTGGGAACTCAAAAAGGGCTAATGCCCAAACACCTCTACTGGGTCACAAGCTTTCTGAGGCTTTGAGACGCATCTCCCCCCATCTCATCCACAAATCTTTTCCGAGCAATTTTTTCGCAGCATGGTTTCGGGGTGAAACGGTCCTCTGTATGACCATTTTTTGCGCCTCCAGCAGCATCTTTCGTTCACAACGAGCAGCAGCAGATTTTCTGAGCCATTCGACCCATGAAATCCATCATAGACCGTCGCGGTGCGGTGGTGGTGGCTCCACATTTCGGGAGCGTTGTGGAATTCGGCGCAGCGGTGTTCGCGGCATCTTTGCTCCATAGCAATCGGCCTGCGCGTCAAGAGATCAAACTCCAGTCTTTGGAGTTTAGACATCAAGTCAGTCTGACTGCACCAGCAAAATCTGGAAATTCTTGAGCTTCCGCAGACGGTTTTGTACTTTTCACGAAAGCATGTTGTTTCTTGAGTTTCCTCCAAGCTTCCCCGATATAGGAGGTAGCTTCTGGGAGTTGCCGCAGCGAATAATGTTCAGTGTCTGCATATCATCATCATCATCACGTCCAAAAAGGCACCCTATACTCAACCGGAAAAAAGACAAGAACTCAACTAACACACCCAAAACATACTGAAACATCCCAAAACATCCCAAAACCATATATTTTCCCATCACATTTGTCCCACATTTGTCCCAGCTTTTTCCCCCGTTCCGGGATTCCGCCTTGGGTCCGCACCACCATCCCCACGGCGTTCCGTTCGTCCGTGATGCGCCAGGTGGGGTCCCGCTGCTGCCACACTTCGCGCGGCACGGGACCCACCGGACCGCTGCAGGCGGTGAAGAGTTTGCGGATCTTCCCGGCATCGGCCTGACGCCGAACTCTACCAGCCTTGAGCTGATGGATATATATACTGTATATATAACTGATATATAACCATAATGGCTAGGGGTGATATCCCAACTTATGGAGGTTTATAACTTTATAACCTTTTATAACCACAAGGGAAGTCAAAGTGCCAAAAATCACTTTAGCTAAAATGACCCATTTCCCCCTTTGACTGCAAATGGCTGTGGGATGATCGAATTTTTGGGAACCCTGCAGATGTTCCCATCATTCTGGGAGTGGTTGGAGACTGAAAAAAACACGAGAAATACTTGTCTTTTTGTAATGGAAAAATCCAGAAAATGTGGCTTTTGCAAGGTCTTGAGATGGTTTGATGGATGGTAAAATGAGGCATTGCCAGCCAACAATGCTTGAACACGCTGGAACGGATGAAAATGGTGAGTCATTCGCCAATAAGTCAAACAAGGGTCAAAAGCCAACTACTAAAAAGTACAAAAACATCTGGGGTTTAACCTGGTTTAAACGACCAAAAATGCGGGACAGTTCACCAATAATTGTATGAGAAAGAGTTGATTTGTACTGGGTGGCAACACCAAAGTGTATATAAGCCACCATACAAATGAATATTGCAGCTCTTGTAACTCAATGCTTATGTTACCATGTCCAGTAGATTCATTTGGTGGGTTTATAAACCTTCTGAAAATGGCTTTGCTATCTATTGTTTGCCACATCAATCAGCGGCAGGGAGACTAGGATTCCGAGAACTCAGCGAATTGAAATCGATAGAAACACCTCAGATTTTATCGTGCAAGCCATGGACACAGGTTGTTACAATCCCACATTCTTTTTGTGCAGCAAAGCACAAAGAAACTAAAGAAACAGAAGGCCAATGGAATCATGTGGGAATGGAGGAATATACTTTCCCACCACTTGTCCCCAATTCAACTCATGACCGCTTCTGATTGGAAAGATGGCAAAATAGGATTGGAGGATAAAAATGTACATGACAGAAATGTACAAGTTGCAATTCGGCTTTGATATGTTTACATATGTGTGTGTGTGCGACATTAAAACAACAAAACGAAACACGTCGGAATTCATTGATCATTCATCACTTGTTTATTTTTAATAGTTGCTTCCGATTGCAAATGATACATCATGATGATACATCCTAACTTGCCATAAGATATCCTTAGATGGTCAAAAACTCAGCAACTCAGACGGTCCAGGGCACACCCGCCTCCCAGCCAAAGAACTCGCCGTTCATACACTTGATGAGGTTCCACAGAGATGGTGCCTCAATGTGCCAGTGCAGGGTGCATCACTGGCACTCCTCCTTCAATCAGCAGCTCAACTGTACATCCTCCCTTAGCCCAGTTGGATAACCAAAATTCAACCACTTTCAAGTTATATGTGGGACTCCAGTTGCACATGGTTTATCATGACATATCATGACCGTGGCCGATGCCAAGATGCCATGTAGTCAATGAGCTTGGTAAAATGGCCCATCAAGGCCAAATAGACCGCCTCATGCGCCACCCAGGCCTGGACCAGACTATCAGATGCCTCAGGACGCGAAGGCCCGACTCTCGGCACGACTCTCGGCGCTGGAAGGACCGTTGACATCGTTAAAAAACCATGGGTAGTTCATGGTATTTCATTAAAATGACACTGGTATTTCACATGGTACCCTCTGGTAAACTAACATAACTATGGAAAATCCCTATTTTCAATGGGAAAACTCACTATAAATGGCCATTTTCAATAGCTATGTTAAATTACCAGAGGGTAATTCACATCGTTTTGTTTTTGCATGGTGTTTCCTGATTTGGAGGTGGTGATTGTTGGTGTTCAGGCTTCTTTTTTAGATACCAATCAGACCTGGCTACCAGGACATCTGACGACAGGTTGCGGGCTTCTGCTTGAAACCTGACTTGTGAGGTGACAAGAGCATGGCACAGGCTGTTCCTGTGAAGCTTTCGGCTGGGTGGAACTTCATGTAGTTCACCTGTCAGGCGTGGTGCAACTGGTGCAACTGGTGCAACTCGCACAGCTCATGCTTTCTGGTACGGTTAAACCCACCTTTTTTCAGGTTGAAACTCAAGAGTGTCTTCTGATTAGATTCCCATGTGCCACACTATTGACACGTTTTCCCGAGTTTAATCCCTTCGTGAGCTATCTATTTATCTACATACCTAGCCACATAGATAGATAATGATAGATATCCCATGATATCCTATAGCCACAGATATCCGATATCCCCATTTTTCTGCTTGGTTTCATCCACTGCTTTCCCTATCTCCTGCCACATCAAAACACCAAGCCGCAAGCGCGCCTTCAATTTGCAGCGCTGCGCTCCGAGCGCCAGCAATTTGCCGATCATCGAGGCATTTTTGGTGAGGCCGATGCGACCCAGCTGCGACCAGGCAGACTCCATCATGCGACGCAGCTTGCTGCGATCGAGGCCCAAACGCGGATCCACCTGGAATCGTTTGGGCAGCGACAAGCCGTGACGTTTTGAGATTCACGTCACTGGGATTCACTGCCCGGAAGGTAATTTATGATGTTTTTTTGAGATACCAATGGAAAATATGGCCGACACGGATCCACCTGGACTCGTTGGCCGCGAAAAGTGACACTGGTGACGTTTTGAGAGAAACGTCACTGTTGGATTCACTGCCCGACTCGGTAATTTATGATGTTTTTTTCAAGATACCAATGGAAAATGGATGAAAATGGCGATTCAGAGATGATGGACCTATTGAAATGGTGATTTTCCAGAGCTACGGTATGTTGAGTTCCTCGGGTAATTTTTGAGACTATTGAGTGTTGAGGTCGATTGGTTCCATCATGATGATGTTCGAGGATCTATTTTGAAGATTAGAACCCGGGCTTCCTATTCGGAGGGAAAACTACTTCCATTTTCAATTGAAAACTGATCCTCATTAGATCCTCAAAAATAAATCCATTGCAAATGGTGTTTTTGAGGAAGCCTGGGCTCTTCCCCGTTCCTCCCTTGAAACCTCCGGATGACGTGCCCCCCACTTTGCCTCCCTCGTGGTCTGGTAGACTTCAAAGTAGTCCTCATAGACGAGCCTCAGGGCAGTTTCTGAAGCGTTGGCCATCTGCACCTCTGAACCATGAACCCGAGCAGCTTTCACACCCTCTTCTCCCCAATTCGCAAGTTCAAGGTTGATTAGGTAGATCCTGGCAAAAGAAGACATGAAAAAGAAATATATATAATATATATAATCATGTATTCATATCATACATACTTATTTTACCAGATTTCTCTCGATTCCAAGTTTCCATGGCTCCCATGGCCAAGCAACGCCTCCGGTGACGCCCGAGCCTCTTGCGCCACTTCGCACAGCGGCCCGTCCCAGTCCACGGATTGCAGGTAGAGACCTTGGAGGCACAGCCATGGTTTGGGACCTTTTTGGCACCCGAAAATTGCTGGCCACTTTGATCATTGGATTGGTTGAAGGGAAAATCTACAGGAAACCATGGTTTTTACCATCAAATATAGGGCTTTCCTGTAAATTTTCCCATCATCCAATTCTATGATTTGAGGATCTGGATTGGTTGAAGTGGATTTTCCCATGAAATATAGGGAAAAACCTGCAAATTTTCCGGTAAACCATCCCATTGATTTAGGATCTGCAATCATTTTCTTGAGCTTTCGGGTCTGCAATTATCGAATCCATTTGGAGGAGCTCAAATGATCATTCAGGCGTAGCCATACTGCATTTGAAATCATAATATGATCAACCTTGGAGTGAAGTCTCAAACCCAGACAGTCTTGGACAAATTGTCCAAGCAGAATATGATACGCAGTATGAAGTAAGCATCACAGATCATCAACCCCTCAAGCATTAACAGTATTGACTCATGTTGTGCTTGTATAATATAACACAGATGATATAGATACCGCAAACATCTTCAGGTAGATCTTGAACTTCTATAATCTTCTATATAGATGATTCTACGTGGCTCACTGAGAAAACGGTCTTTCCCTGCCTGAAAAATGTAGCCAAACCTTTCCATAGTTCCAGCGTTCTGCTTGCAACTTCTGCCTTCGGTCATTCACTTTGAGCTCTTTGACCTTGGCACTTCGGCTCACCTGGCGAGCACAGGGCTGCCAACATGGCCACATCCAAACAGATTTGGGATTTTTTTTCGCACCTCGAGGGCTGAGCACAACTTCTTGCCATCATCTTCAGAAATAGCAAAGCAGGGGATCTCTGAGGGGTCAGGCACGCTGTAGAGCATCGCACCTGCGCGGAAAATCACAGAAAACCCTGAGGATCTGGACATGGCTACTTCGAATGATGTAAACCCCAATGAATCATCACCAAGTGCGGTATATTTTGGATGCACCATGAACCCCAAAAGTTTTAAAAGTTGGCTACTAGGATGTTTACAATATTGGGTTTCCCGGTTTACCACTTGATTTGCTCGTTTCTCACTGGAATCCAGACCTCCTCCTCCGATTTTGATCACTGCATCAGCCCCTGCTTGATAGGCTCCCTGCAGGAGCGCTCCATCGGACATGGTGCCCGGCTTGAACTTCTCCGAAAGCACGGCGACGGCGCCCCGCAGGGGCACGGAAGAGACGTCGTTCTTTGGAACGTAAACGATGGGTTTTCCTGCCACCAGGTGGATGTGCATCCCGTTTTTTTTGGGATCCGTAACAACCTAGTACAGCCTGTATAGCCCTGTCTCAAAAAAATGGCTGCACATAGGTTTCAAATGGCTTACCATCCCCACCCTCAAGAATTGAAGATGAAAGTGAAATCACCACCCCCTACTCGTGAATACACAAAGATTCTGCGCTTGATCGACCAGTTCAATGAAGTGAAGTTATACAGTAAATGATCAAGGCCATGCCAGCAGCTTCCTCAAACTTTTAGGTCCCTAAGACGATCAAAAAGCTGATCACTACCAGTTTGATCGTCATTTGATCTTCAATCACTGGGGATCCCTCCACTACAAAAAGAGACGACCCTCAACCAGCCCCACTCCCCAGCCTCAAATCCTCCCCTTTGTTGCTTCAATCATCCTATTTTTTCTTGGTTCAACCCTCAATTGTCGTCACTGAACTCAACGAAATCCCCAATTTTAAGTTGCTCAATTATCCTTATTTCAACCCGATTTCTTTTAGAACGTCTCAACCCTCCAAACCCCCAAACCCCCATCTGCCCCGTGCGCCCCCAGAGCCACCTGGGAACTGTGCCAGGTCCACCTGCCGCGCATGGACCTGCGCCGCAGCATCCAGCGTCAACACTTGGCCGTCCAGTTCCACAGTTACCTGAGCCCAGGCGCCGCCCAAGGGCTGGCCGTCCTGCGCGAAAGATGGGGCGCTTGGAAAACGGCCAGAATTTTGTATCCCCATGTGGATGAACCTCCAATGCAGGACGGAATCATCATGATTCACCAATAATCCTCAAATCATGAGAATCCCCTATGAATCATAACCCCATTATGATTTACCGCGCTCTCCTTGGAGCTTCGACTCGCAGGACCGAAGCAGGGCGCATGGCAGCTGCAGCGGAAGGGGCAGTCCCCCGAGGGCGGACTGCCTTGAACCTGGCTGCCCAGTTCGCTCAGCTAAGTTCAGCATTTGACCAGCAAAATATGGGTATTTCATGGGATTTAGTGAACTAGGCTTGGTGCAAATAACTCCAATAATTAAGGGCTTAACTAAGGCTTGTGGTAAATATATCGAAGTCAGTTGGGGCCTACAAACCAAGGTGTAAGTGGAAAAAAGACCGCCCTGGGGAGGATTAGCCCTTGCTATACTTTCTCAGTCAGCTGCATGAACAAATGTGATATAGCCCAGTAGCAGAGAGTTATAGAGCACTTACTAGTTGGGATGCAACACGGTAGTGTGGGGTTTGAGCCAAGGGAAAAATTGACGCAACAATGAGGGTGATTTGGTTTGGAACATGACAACACATGGGACACTTGATTGGCTGCTGGGGCAACCACAGATGGCTGGCAGTACCTCTTTTTATTTTTTTCCGGGAGCATGGCAGTACCTAAAAACAATACGTTTTGAACTTGGAGATGTTTGGGGCATACACATGCCTAAGGTTCGTTTATGTTTGAACTGTGGTTTTACAGATTGAATGAAGGTTGACAGCAAGCCTTTCTGGCTTGCTGTCCTTCGTTAAAACCATCGTGGAACTAGGACTCCTGCATTTGGGTTTGTCTCAAAATAGGGTACCATCATCAATCATCAGTTTATCCACGAAAATTGCCATAGCTGCGGGGCATCCATTATCAAAAATGGGTGGTTATGGGTGGTTAGAATATCCCATGATACATCTATAAATCCTATTAAATCACCATTTATAGCTGATTTTTCCCAACAAATCATCCATCCAGTTCCAGTGAATCCGATCCGCACCTGGAATGTCACTTCATCATCACCTCGGCCAGGGGTGACACTGGTCAGACCACCCCTGGAAGACACAACTGCGAACGAGCCACTGATGACGTTGAAGGGGATACGAGAGCGGGTGGCAAAGTCACCAAAGAGCTTGCCATTGGTCTGTACCACCAAGACAGGGCTGTCGGTGTCATGTTGTACCACGCGGGAGGAGCAATCGAAGGCACTCATGCCCACACACAGCACCCGGACAAAGGACAAGGCTTCGTCCAGAGTTTCGGCAAACCTGCAAGCAGACCGCTGCCAACCCCTAGCCTTAGGTCTGCATGAGATTGCCACTGCTGGAACTCTTTGGCCCCTTTGGACACGGGGTGCCCCTTTGCTGTTACCATATATCCCCATCTTCCTCCGTGAGGCTCGATAGGATCAGCCCAGCCCCATGACCGTATCAAGATGCCTGCCGATATGATCCTTGAAGCTTGGGTGAAAGGCAAGTAGATGGGTCATGAATTAACTAGGTATAGTATAGCCCCCTATCGCAGTGTTTGCTATAGCTTCGGAGATCATCCTTGAAAGTACCCCCAGCATCCCTCGCGCCCGTGCTGGTACCAGCGCCTCGGGTTATCGCTTCCGATCTGTTGCTTCGTGAGCCGTTCGAATTTCTCAAGATCTTGCATCAACCAGCCGGCCCTGGTACCCTCTGCCACAGGCGCAGGCAACGGCGTCTCCTAGGCAGCTGAGCCCAAGGGCAGGGCGACCACCAGCAACACTGGAGTGCAGATCTTTTGTTTGGTGCTGAATTGCGGGGGAACCAATGACATCTATTGAAGGCATGCGAGTGAGAGCTTGTGGCCTTCTTTCTGCGACAACCATATTCAGGACTTTTGCTGAACTGGTCGGAAATTTTGGCTTGTTTATCGAAATGTAACCCATTATTCCCATTTAGTTGGGTATAGTGGTATACCCCATTTTCAGACACGCGTACCTGGCGTACCTTCCCTGGCCCCCTCCCACAGTTCAGCTCTCAGGTCCTTAGGTTCTTTGGCCCCCGAGCCGCGCCAGGCAGCAAGGACTAGGCACGTCACTGCGCACGTGATGAGGCGATCCATCCATTTCTCCCAAGCCGAAACCGCGGGACCCGCGACGGCTGAAGCAGTGGGTTCAGCACTCGCGGACAGAAGGAGAAGGAACAGCAGCACACGAATTGCAACAGCCATGGCGATTGGAAGAGACACCACGTCAAAAGTGACTACCAAGATGTATCAAGAGACCAAGTGCCTGATTTGGAACCTGAGGAACCTTGGGAACGCGTGTGGTTGTCGCCTTGAGGCTGGAAATGTCACGGGTGAAAGAGCAGGTCAAGTTGCCGCGTCGAAGATTCACCTTGACAGAATGATACTTGGATGTGTAAGCTATACATATTCACATATACCATCTGGTTATTTAACATAGCCATGGAAAATCCCTTATAAATGGAGGTTTTAATGGGGAAATCATCTATAAATGGGCCATTTCCCATGGCTATGTTAAATAACCAGAGGGTATATATATATTATAGGGATATAGATATAGATAAGGTTGGTCTGCTTGAATAGCAATTTAGGAAGTTTTCCAATGTTTTCCACGACATTCTGTGGCTGAATTCATCAGAACAATTCTGCGGTCAATTCGATCAAATCCAATGGTAATAGACCTCTGTGGCCACTGTGCAAAACGTGCGACAAGATAGATAGGATAGGAAGGCGCAACACGCACGCACTCTTTTTATATGCATTCCTCAAGTCATTCCAGGCCATGTTTACTAGAACTGCACTATGTTTCACCAAAAGGCAATATGCGGTATAGTATAAATGCCCTTCACTCGTGTGAGGCAACACCAAATACCTCCACAAACTCACGACCCCTTGCGGTACTCACAGGTATAACCATGAAGATCAGCATACAAATACAACCCCAAGCTTAGCTGTGGCAAGAAAATCCCCGTTTTGTCACTGGAACCGCACCCCCGCCACCCCCGCGTTTTGCTCCTTGCATCCACCCACGTACGGCGTCCCGCGCCAATTAGCGTCCGAAAAGGTCGTCCGTCTCCTCGAAGATCTCAAAGGCACTGGAAGATCTGGAAGGCCTGGCTCAGAGGCGCCAAAACAGTAAGATGAGTAAGCTGAGTAAGATGAAAGAATATAACTTAATATAACGACTTAAATATCATAGATATTAGTGTTTCTGAAAGTGTTTCTGAAAGTTTGCCCCAATATCTCATTCTATTTGTTCAGCTAGTTCAGCTAGATATGTGTGGTGAGGTCGCTGGGGCGCCCATGTGTTCCTGTTTTACAGCGATGTACTCTTTGTACGTCCTTGCACCTATGGCACCTATGCAAACAAAATAAAAATGTAATACCCCTCTGTCCCTGTTCATTTACATTCATTCACTTGTTTTTTCTTGTTTACTTGCCAGATATTTAGACATTTAATTTTGTATTTGTTTGTTTATGTTTATGTTTTATGTAGCTTCCTTTATTCATCTCTTCAGTTGTTCAATGATTTACATCTAATATCTATTCATTCATTTATCATTTATCGATATTGTATTAAATATTAGAATAGAAATGTGAATATCTATCTATATATTTATCATCTATCATTCATCTAATATTAGACTAATATTAGAATATTGTATACATGTGCCACACTTCTCTTCCCCAGTTGCCTCCTCGGTGAAGCTTCGCGCGCATCGCGATTGCCTCCACCATTCCCCAGGTGCCGCAGAGCACCACGCGGTGCGGCCGCTTCGGTGTCGGTGGCGAAGAGGGCCTGGTGGGCCCCTCAGGCTTAAGTTGGTTCAGCTACCAAACAATTCGAAAATTTGGATTTCATCATACCGTATACCAAACCTTGGGATTTAAATATGAAAATAAGATAAAATAAGACAGAATAAGTAATGATGAGAGGTTCGTAAAGCGTCCTTGTGATTCCTTGTGCTTCCATTTACAATTCGGCCCCGCTCTTTTGGAAATGAAGCTCCCCCAGACTCCCTGATGATGGCCCTCCGGCCGATGAACGCATGTGTTCAATCTGCATCCATAAACATGTTGAAAAGTGTCACTAGATGTCACTAGGCACCCTTGCTGAAGACAGGGAGGTTCCCAAACATTGCATTCGGTTTGGACGCTGCCAGCATCAATGAGAAACGTCACTTTTTCAGGGTGTTCAAGCTTTGCGCTCCTTGAAAGACACACAATAATCTTAGGTTCCCCATTTTTGCCAATTTTCCCAATCTTCCCCAGAAAATATGAAAGCATCACCCAGGCCGGGACAAGAATTTAAGAAACCACTAAACCCCCAAACCTTCAACCCAAACCACCTCACCCCAAATTGAAAGTTGTTGTTCTACTTGGGATATCTCCCTTTTTTTGGTCCAGTTCTCCCTCGAAATTTCCCAGGGGCACCAGGATCTCTCGTTGCGCCAGCTCGGCCGTGTAGGTCGGATCCTCAAAGATCTCTCCGCAGGAGCTGCGCCGGTCCGACCGGCGACCGCTCTCCGCCAGCAGGGAGCGGAGGCCCACGGTGTCGCTGGTGACCTGGGAAAACGTGGAGCCGGGGAGCCATGGGGCGAAAACTGTTTTGGAGCCATTCAAAAAAGGGACCCCGGACCCCCCCAAAGTTATTTCTGTTGGTTTAGACTAAGTAGTTCGGAAGGATCACACTCTAGTCATGCGTTGGAGATATCAACCTGTTCAAACCAAGCATTGGCGTAGTGATAGAAAGCAACTTACATATCGTTTCCTGCCCCTTCCTGCAAATCCCAAAATGAGTGCCTCAAACAAAGAAACTTAATACATACGTAAAAGTTGATGGGGTAATAGAGGCACAGGGACTGGGAAAGTCGTTTCGGTCTTTTACTTCTTTGGTCCAGTCTCCCATGCTTAAAGCAAGATAACATGAATACCTAGTTGAAAGTGGATGGGAATTGTTTTTTTTGTGTGTGGCGGGGGGGGTATCCCACTTGAGTTTTCCCCCCAAAAGACATGTAGTACCCAGCCACCAGCTGGATCTTGGTCCAAGCGACATTTCCAGAGTGCAGAGAAGCACGAGACTCACTTCTCTCGGATGCCTGAAGACTGGGGGTCGGTTTCACATTGCAGGAGGTTGTTGACCGTGGTTGGCCCATGATTGTATATACCCTACCTCCAAAAAAAAAACAAAATCATCCTTAGAGAATTGGAGATGTCCATGTCCCAAATCTCCGCCGTAGCCGCCTGTGAGGATCGTCTTCCACTCATCCCACGTGATGGCCATGCTGCGCTGCTGCCTGCCTTCCACTCTGCTGTGCTGCCAATGCGCGCCAGAACCCGCGGTGCGGCTGGGACCTGGCCATTTTTTACAGGCAATCCATAAGGGCAGAAGCTTTTTACCCAACAACCATACGGCCCAACAAGTTTTTGGCCCTCCTCCCATGGCCTCCTCATTCCGCACCAGCCTTTGTGTTGCTGGCAGCTCCACTTCCACGGCTAAGGTGCGCGCGGGGATGGGAATGAAGACTTGGTCCTCGGTGGTTTGTGCAAGGAGAGTTGGGCTGGTTGCGCCCCAGCAATGAAGATTCTACCAACCAAAACAAAGAGTTCTCAAATGTTTTAAGCAAAAATGGAAATCAACATTTGGGGATGGGTGCCATCTTGAAATCATCCAACCAGGATTCATGCACCGGCAATTCCACTTCATCCTCACATGGCTGCAGGGCCGTGTCTTCATGCACCGCAAAGTGCTCCGTCGCCGTCGCCAAGGGCGGCTCCACAGCAGGCGGGACCCCTAAGAGTTCGGAGCTTCGCTCGGAGCTGGGCCGCGGCTGCTTGGGACCTGCTATGGCAAGCTGTTTCTCACGAAAGTGATGGAAAAACAATGTTTTTAACCGCCGGATAGCCTTGCAGATTTTCCTGGAAAAGAGTTTATATAAGAGAACAGCTATTTAGCCTTGATTTCTAGTGGATGTACCCAACCTGAAAACGGGATACTCAGGTTGCAACCTGATATGCGATCATCCTGAACAACTTGCAATTTGACCTGTAGTGGAAAATTATTATGTTTTCCTGACTGAACTTTCTGATCATGGTTGTTGTGCTACGTGTTCAAATCAAAAATGCACGTCCTTCTGTGCTGGTATGCAGTAGCCACCGCGAAGGGCTACGTACCCACTCAACATTTTGGAAGTATACAATCATCAAAGGTCACTCAAAATCTTGGATTACAAATTCGAAGGGCATGAAAACAAAAAAATGGCTCAGTGGTGCTTGGTCTGCTTGGTCGTGGAAACTCCCTACTTCCAAGAACTGCGGAAATCGTCAAATGGGGTCTCAAACAATGGGTTGGCACAACATGAAACGTAAAAATCTTGTGGGTCCTGGCATCTCCAAGTTTTGAGCCCAACTCCCCAACTATTTCCGCAGCTTCCCGACCTTTGCGAGCAGCGCGCTTGCACATTCGACGCTGGAATTCTTGGTAACGACTTTGAAGTCGCTCCTGCGGTTCTGCTTTCCGTTGCAAGCCAAGTTGGTACCTCTGAAAGCAAGAGGAAAGCGCTTGCCAGCTCCGTTTCGGTACGCGGAGGGTGTTTCCCCTCCTAGCCATTGTTTTTCATCTGGTTCCCGCCCCCGGAATCATCAACCAACCATCATTTATCATACCTATGATTATAGCCCTATGCGTTTGATAGTTCAAGCCTCTATCCTATAACTGATGGTGTACAAAAACCCAAAATCTTCATGAACTAAGCCAACTACGCAATGATCAGTCAAAAAGCTGCTCATTGAATCCCTATCTTGGAGGTGTAAATTCCAGTCCCCATGTTCTCCCTATCCGGTCCAGATATTTTCACTAAATTCTGGTGTGCGTCCCACTGCCACGTTGGATGTGTCCCAGCCCCGGAGGCACTGCTCTTCGGCCTCCGCAAACTTCCGCTGCCGCTCCAGGTGCGAAGCCCAGGCCTCGTAGAGCAGCGCATGCTGCTGCCCGATGCCTCGAACTGAAAATTTCCCTTTTTTCCAGGGACTAGGGGACTTTACCACTCAAAATTGGGAGTGAACCCAACAAAAAACACTGGGAATTGGTTGCATTATAAACTCAGCCAACTGTAGAATCTGTAGATCAACAAAACCAAAAAAAAATCGGAAGTTAAAAACCAAGTTCGCTATCGTTTGCGATGAGGATGTCATCAGTGAATTTTTAGGGCCTTCGCCAATCAAGACTTGGATTTGGGTTTTGAAGAACAAAAATACGGATTCCTGCAAGATCGGACAACATATGTAAACAAGGGTACAAGATGATAAAAGTTGATATCGAACTGTAGAAACGGGTAACTAGCCGGTAAGTACCACAAAGTATGAACAGATACTACACCTAGTCACACCCCTGCCGCAGCATGTTTCTTGAGCCATGCACGCAACAGTATACGAGGTGAAAAGGTATATACATGGAGTACTATTGTGCATCAACACCCCCCGTGCAGTGTAATTACCGCACAGGAAGTGAAGCTGCAAATTAAGAGGGTGCACTACCGAGTTAAGGGATGCCGTTATTAACATTAACAACAAAACCCAAAGACCAAACCCTCCGCAGCACAGCCTAATCTTTCGTAGTACTTCCATCTTCACCTCAGGCGTGCGATCAGTTGACAAACAAGAGCAAAAATGGCAATGCATATCGTTCGGCTCTACTTCACGTACAAAGGCCAACGGATGCAGTGAACATCAATTCGGTCGGATGCATTCAGCTTCATTTTAGGCTCGACTGGGCTTGTGGTCGAACATGCAAGGTGGAAAGAAAAGGTCTTGGCCCAATACTAGGCCAGCGTTTCCACGCGGCAACAAAAGTTCTTGTGGTCGCCCAGGAGCTTGCCAAAGCAAAGCGATCTGAATTATGGCAAAAGCTGAATTCATGTTTTGGTGTGAACCCGCAGGGAAGCTTTCAGAAATGCTTCAAAGATGCCTTAACTTCGCAAGGCAAGAGCTTCCGCTCTGCGGTACATGCAACTACCAGCCGTGTGCTATGCAAGAAGGAATCATGGCAAGAATAAGATGAATGCCAAATGCCTGCTTCAAATTATATGCATTCAAAGCGTTAATGAAACTTTTGTGAACTTGAATGAGTTGGCAAAAATTCCGACTTAGCACACTTGTGTTGGAAATGATGGTGGAATCGCTCACCCACCTGTGCAAAATGAAGCTAGTCGCCTAACCGAATTAAATCCGAAAAGGCAACAGCTTCCGCTGTGCGACACCTCTCATTGAAAGAAACTACCCCGCCTCGGATGAAGATAAATCCACCAGGCGAGAGGTTCCCCTCCGCGGTGCCTCAGCGATAGCCCGACCAACGTCGATCCCTGTATTGGTGGCCTTGGTTTCGACGGCGCCAATCTTCCCACTCCTGGTCAGTCCACTGATTGTAGTAGTCATTCCATTCCTGCTGACTGTAGCCATGAGTGGGCCCCTGATCTGATGAGAACCATATCCAGGACGCGAGGACCTGGTGACATCTGGGTTCTGCTGCCTCGTTGCAGGTAGGGGTCGGCTTCCGCCTTCCGTGTCCTTTGCCTCCGTGAGGGGGCGCAAGATGTTGTCGACATAGCTGAGAATGTCGGCATACACATCCTGCTTGGACAACGCAAGGGATTGGAACGTCGTGTTGGCGACGCTCAAGACCTCAAAACGATCGGCCACAGGGATCAGGGCATAGGCGGCCGCGAACTGGTTGGCTCTGTAAAAGCGGTTCTTGTACCAGATGAGTACATGATCATCCACGATGATCGTCTTCATCTGTTCCTCTTCGTATGCGACCATGCACATACGCGCTTTGTACTGCCGAATCTTTCCAGTTCGGATCTCCTCGCGGGTGCGTTTGATGGAGGGAAGCACCACGTTGCCCAAAACGGTAATCCAATGCATACACCGAGGTGTAAGGTCTTGGACTGCGCAATTGAAGGCGTAGTGGGCGTCCGTTCCCAGACGCTGTAGCAAAGTCAGCCCCGCTTTTCTCGCCTGCTTCATGTATGAGCGGGCGTGATTTTTGAGGACTGCAGCAGCAGATCTGATCTGCTTGGCACCTTGGGTGGTGCCTGCTACATCGTCATCGCCCAGAAGGTCCAACGTCAGCTCGAAGCCCAGCTTCTCGGCCAACTCTTCCAGGCGGAACACCTGACATGCACGACGCATGTCGGACATTGTCGCCAGCGACAAGCCGCATGCGAGGCACACCAACATCCCCTCAGGAAAGATCTTCCTGCACCGGGGGCATGTCAATTCCGGCATTGCCAGCATTGAAACATACCGCCAGCGCGTGAGGTTCCCCTCCGCGGATGGGTCAAATGCCTCCTGATCGAAGCGATCAGAACGGCGTTCCCGCGCGTTGTCAGGGGCGATGTCGAAGCCAGCTGCAGTTGCCGTCGGCTTGCGCGCCACACAGAGGAGATTGGTGAAGTTGAGCGGCCGTTGCTTGATCTTTGGCAGCAACTCATCGACGACAGGATATGGTGTCGGAACTTCCTTGTAAATGAGCGGACGTCGCAGAGTGATGACATCCTTCCACTGATCGTACTCATTCACGAACATGTTCTTCAACACCTCCAGGTCCGAAATCTCGTACCTTTCAAGTTCCTCGTAATTGGGAGTGCCCTTCCGAGCCTCGTTCTCTTGCCAAGTGAGAGCGTTCTCGGAGGCCTTCTGCCGAAGGTACTTCTTCACCCCGTTGTAGCCATGGTTCGCCCAAAGGTATTGCGACTTCTCGCAATCGAATGCGTAGATGAGGCAATGATTGGGCACCCAGTCCTCAGTGATGAGTGCACCGGCCAAGGTTTCCACCAGGCGAAGACCATAGTGCAGAGCACAATCGGTATCGATCGCGATGCACAGCGGTCGGTTCGTCCTGACACCAGGATCCTTGCCTTCGATTTCCCAAGGCGCATGGCGGGTCATATACACATGACCCTTGCATGAAGTGGCCCCTGGAAAAATCCCCGTGCAAATGATCTGCTGGAGGGAGTCCCATGAAGTGTAATGGTAAATAACCTTGAACTCTTCTGAGACCTCGGCTTCCGCCAGGTGAGGATAAATGGGGACCCTGGGGTAGAATCCCTTCTTCAAGTCCTCGACCGTGAACTGGTAGTCAAGCGAGATGATTTGCTTGACCAATGGAGCCGTTCCCACCTTGTCGATGAGGGACTGGTCATGGCCTTGGCAGGCCTTCACATGCGTGATGCGGTACGGCATGTCCATGGTTGTCAGTTCCCCGACAATTCCAGCCTGAATGCGACACATGAACCTGTCCTGGGTTCGAAGGATCAGGTAGAGGTCCTGTCGCGAAAGCTGGGCGCGATGCCTTTTCCTCAGGTAGGTGTACATGGACTCAAAGTTCAAGTACAACTCCTCATCAAATTCAGGAGGAATATGGCGATGGTGCGCCTCGAGGAACTTGTGGTCATAGCCGCGCAGCAGCCCAGTGACCCGCTTGGAGAACTTGAAGTCGTCGTGACCGAGTCTTCCAAGATCCCTCAGGCCAGGCAGTTCAGTACACCGGATGGTGAACTCCCTGCGCTCGCCCGTTCCCGGGGAGAAAAAGTACCATTTGGGATACCCAGATGGTCGCAAGGGCGGTTCAGCCGGAGGCTGAGGTCCACCCGTTCCCGGGGGAGGAGCACTTGCCATAGGCGGCTACTTCTTGGCCATCTTCGGGGCAGGCTCCGACGAAGACGTAGCTGCAGGTGCCGATGACTTCTGCGGAGGTGCCCTCGGTGAGGTTGTTGTCAACGTAGCAGGCGGTGCCTTGAAAGGCAAAGCTTTGGGCATAGGATGGTCCGCAGCTTCCGCTGGGAGTGCAGGTGGCTCCGGCTTGGGGGATCCAATTGCACTCTTCGGAGTCGGTGGCGGACTGGGCTTTGGGGACGCCATGGGAGACGTTCCCGTCGCCGTTGAGACCTTTGGGAGCCGCGGAGCAGGCTTGGGCTGAATCATGGTAGCCTGATCCCTCATCTTGGGTTTGATGAATTGGCTGACAGTGTCCCCGATCACCTGTGCGATGCCGCTCGAAGATGATGCCGCTTCGGATGAGGAAGCCGCCTTCGACTTGGCCTTCGACATGATCTGGACAGAGGCAGCAGGGTCACCCGCGCGAAGTTTCTCCTCGGCGGTCTTGGGCTCCTCGAAGATCTCCCGTTCCATCTGACGATGCTTCTCCTCATCCGTCAAATCAAAGCGACGAATGATGACTGCACCACTTTCAGTCTGCTGCATGGATTCCTGCCGAAGTTCGAGCTTGGCAGGGTCACGTGTGACGTCGGTGTCCAAGATGTTCACTACACCAGAACCATCCAATCTGAAGTCCACAGCATGGATCTTGTTCATCAGATGGGAGCGCAGCTTCTGCTGGCTAAACATTGATGCCGAGCCGCCGACAATGGGTTCTCTGAAGACAATCTCCTCGTCAGCGTCCGGCTCGTCAATGTCGCGCTCATCGGAAACACCTGGCAACCGATGCAAGAAGGGCTTGAGGATGGCGTCGATGAGCTCACCATCCATCTCCGGCTCTTTGACCTCATGTGGTTCAAAGTGCTCGGGTTCCCCCGGCAGTGCAGCGTCCACGGACTCCAAAAGCTGCCAGTTCGATGAGGCCACATTGGCATCATCCTGCACCGTAGGAGCCTGTGAGACTTGTGCACGTTCGGGATCAACTTCATTGGGAAGTCGTTGCCCTTTGGGTCGGGTCTCCTTCACATAGATTTCCCAACCGTCCACGTCCATGGAAACCAACACTTCTTCCATCTCCTCCCATTCGGGGTTGTTCTCAGGAAGAGGGTTGGCCAGCGATTCCTCGCGGCGCTTCTTCATCTCAGCCATCTCGACCAAGGCCTTGCACGAGCGAAGCCGGAAGAGGTGATAGCCAAGCGCGCCTGCTTCGGAATAGAAGCGAATGCACTGGAGACGATTGTGCTCCGAATTCTCCATGTGCTGGCCGTCGTATCGTGTAGTA